TTTATGTGTATGCATGTATTGCCTGCATGTAGGTAAGTGCACCCATGTCATGCAATGCCATGGGGGTCAGAAGAGGGCTTTGGATTTCCCTGGAACTGGAGTTAAGGACAGTTTGTAGCCACCATGTGGGTACTGGGCATTAAACCCAGGTCCTCTGCAAGAGCAGTCAGTGTGCTTAACCACTGAGCCATCTCTCCAGCCCCTCCATGCATTTTAAATTTTATTTTTATTTCATGTGTATGTGTGTTTTACCTGAATTATGTACCTGTACCTGTGCATGTAATGCCTGTGGAGGCCAGAAGAGGGTGTCAGATCCTAGAACTGGAGTTACAGACAATTGTTAGCCAGCATGTGGGTGCTAGGAATCGAGCCTGGGTCCTCTGCAAGAGCAGCCAGTGCTCTTGACCACTGAGCTGTCTCTCCAGCCTCCTCCACACATTTTATGGCTTCCAGAAGAAAAGCAGAAGCAACGAATTTACCTTGAAAGTAACCAGGTGGCTGCCTAGTTCTGAAACCTCAGTCAGATATGGGCACTAAGTGGGGCCAAGAGTCAGCTGGGACCAGAGAAGTCTCTCTCAGTGATGATGGCATTGGCGGAGGGATCCACAAATTGGTGCTCAAATGCTAAGAGTCCCTGCCAAGGCCACCTGAAAGTGCATTTCTCACGACTGAACCCAATGAAGAAACGTTGTTTGCTTGACTGATATGAGTATAGACTCCAGGTTTTCCTCACCCTTTGGAATAAAGATTCTATGTAGTCTGTTCATGGGGGTTGGTTCCTGGAGCCCTTGTGCATATCAAAAGCTGAAGTGGTTAAGTGCCTCCTGGGTCAGGCAGCTGTAAGTTTGCATCACAGCTCCATCATCCTTGGCTTGTTATTTAATCTTTCTGAACTTCAGTTCAAATCACAGTACAGTCCTCCCTAGTGTACATGGAAGACTGGTTCCAGGCCTCTAGATGCTCGTCTTTTATGTAAAATCACGTAGTAATTGGATATAACCTTCAATACATCCTCTGTGTACTTTAAATTGCCTCTAGATTATAATTTAGGTATTATAATACTTAATGTCAATAATTGTCATACTGTACTGTTTAGGGAATGGTGGAAAGTTCCTAAGTGTCCTGTGCAAATGAAAAAAAAATCTCAAATACTTGCAGCATTATTGGTTGGATCTGTAGATAGGGAACTCGTGAATACCAAGGGCAGACTGCTATTCACAGCATGGTTGCATTGATCGTAGTAACCACCATGCTTCTCACACAGACTTCTTGTGAACTGCTGTTCAGGTTTGGGGTTAAAAGTTGGCAGGGGCAGGGCATTTGAGTTACTTGATTATTTGCAAGAGATGGAGGATAAAGGGCATGGGAAGGGGTGATGGTCCAGAATAGCTCTGTCGAGAAAGTGGTTGACTGTAGACAGGAAGGGTCGGGAGTGAAAGGGAGGACAGGGCAATCCCTCTGTGGCTGTGCACAGTTGGTTCCAGGATGCGAGGTGGAGGTCAGGTGTCCGAGCATAAGGAGGTGAATCCCAGCCCAATGTCTGAGCCCCTAGGTCACATACCCACAGGCCAATGGACAGGGTCAACAGGAGGTACAAAATCACTACCAGTGTGTCTAGGGCGCCAATGATACTTAAGCCCACATAGCTCTTGTTCAAGGGGAAGGTGTGGTACTTATCCAGGACGTTCATGGCAGCATTTCCAGACCAGGTGAGCAGCGCTTGTAGCCAGAAGCCGTTGAACATCAACGGTTCGGGACCCAGTTCCAGCTCTGGCTTGCAAGGCATCCTGGGAAGAGCCACCAGACAGCCTGAGTGTTCCCAGCAGGCTCTGCGTCCCAAGTCTCCCCAAGATTTAAAGAATTCTTTCCTTTAGGTTGGTCTGATTAGCCAACAAAATGAAAACGGCCTCTTGGCTTCCAGGTACGACCCAAAGCTGTCTCTTTTTCAACTATTAACAGTCATCCTTAGCTAAGGTGGGACGTGGAGGGGACTAAAGTGAGACCACTGCCGTATATCCACTGATGGTTTTTTTACAAGCTATGCTGGACCCTGGGGCAAAGACAGAAACCAGTAACACCATTCCAGCTGATTTTGAAATTTTGGTATTTTGTTGATGGTTGGTTTTTGCAATAATTTTGATTACTAAAATTATTTCATTAAACAGTATTTTAATTGCTGAGGTCTTTTCTTTTTTGGTACTTATTTTTTAAAATATTTTGTTATTTTATTTTATTTGTGTAAGTGTATTGCCTGCATGTGTGTAAGGTGCAGTGCTCACAGAGGTCAGAAGAGGATTCTGGATTCCCCTGGAACTGGAGTTAGGATGGTTGTTAGCTGCCATGTGGGTGCTGGGATTTAAACCCCGGTCTTCTGCCAAGAGCAGCCAGCCAGTGCTCTTAACCGCTGACCCATCTCTCCAGCTCTGACATTTTTTGTGCCAAGCAATTCCTCAATTCTCTTTACCACAGTCTCAGCTCTAGGTGGAAGAACGTGTCACAAAAGGTTCTCAGCTTTGTGCAATTCAACTGTTAATAGTGATGTGTCTTTCTTTTCTTTTGTTGTGGGGATGTTGTGCTTGGACAGAACCCAAGGTTCTATACATGCTTGGCAAGGACTCTACCACTGAGCTCCGTCCCCAACTGATGTGCCCAGCATTATTTTTTTCTTGGTGCATTTCCTTGTTAAGTTGTATTTTAATAAATATTGAATAATAATGACAATAATAATGACTAATACATACCTACTGCTAGGTGCCAGGACCCCTTTTTTACTTTACATAGATTAACCCACTTTGTTCTCACACTAATCAATCTGAGTCTATGACAAAGGGAGGAGGTTTTTTTTTCCTTCAAGCCAATCAGAAATCCACTGTTTCAGAATCCAGAGCAGAATCCTATCATCCCAGCTTAGTCCATTGCTGCCCAGTAAAAATACATGAAAGGGGGGCTGGAGGTGTGGCTCATTTGGCAGAGCATTTGCAGGTCATGCACAAAGCCTTGGCTCAATCGCCAGCATCACATAAACTGGACATGGTGGCACACACCTATAATCTCAGCACCCCAGAGGTGGAGGCAGGAAGATCAGAAACTCAAGGTTAACCTTGCTGCCCAGAGAGTTGGAGGCCAGCCAGGGGGGGTGAGGGAGAGGGAGAGGAGGAGGGAGGGAAAGAGAGAAAAGGGGAGGGGAAGAGAGAGAGGAAGAGGAAGTGAGGGGGAGGGGAATAAAAGAAAAGAAAAAGGTAGATGTGATTTAAAATGCTCCAGTAGCCACATTTTAAAAGTAAACAGGTTGCTGGGCGTGGTGGCGCACGCCTTTAATCCCAGCACTCGGGAGGCAAAGGCAGGCAGATCTCTGTGAGTTGAAGGCCAGCTTGATCTACATAGTGAGCTCCAGGACAGCTGGGGCTACAGGGAGACCCTGTCTCAAAAAGACTCCCCCCAAAAAAGTAAATAGGTCAAATTAAACATGATTTTGTCCAATGTATTTAAAACACATTAGGTCTTTGAATCTGATGTATATTTTACACTTGCAGCACATCCCAATTCTCACAGTAACTTTTCATCAGAAATTCTTGATCTGTGTTTAGACCTTATAAAAATTACAGTTGCACATGTAGACCACATATCAAGTTGTTCTAAATATATTGGAAGGTTTTCTAGTAACTGTAAGAAATGGTTACATTTCACCTTCCTTTAAATCAATGACAAACTTAGTTCATCTTTTCAGAAGAACTGATTTTGAAGCAAAATCATATCAGTTTCAAAATTATGTCTTTCCAAGTCAAGCAAATTCATTAACCTCTGTTGTCAACCCAATATTACTGGCATCAAAATCAGAGACATAACATAATTTGAAATGTACTTTTAAGTTGACCAATGTCAGAACGGACATGGTGGCACACTCCGGAGGCAGAGGCAGGTGATCTCTATGAGTTCAAGGCCAGCTTGGTCTACACAGTGAGTTCCAGGAAAAAAAAAAAAAAAGAAAAGTTGATCAACATCATAAAGTGGGGCTGGGGCTGGAAAGATGCCTCAGTGGTTAAGAGTACTGGCTGCACTTGAAGAAGACCCAGGTTTGAATCCCAGCACCCACATGGTGATTAACAATCCACAGTAACCGCAGTTCCAGGTTCCAGGCCCTCTTCTGGCCTCCTCCAGCACTGAATGACACAGGTGCACTTACATACATGCAGGCATAATACTCGTACACCTGAAAATAAATACATCAAAAAGATTTTTAATCATGAAGTGTTCTTCAAAATTCTCTGGCAGTGTTGATAGTTAATTTACACAAGATAGCCAGTTACAGGGCTGGAGAGATGGCTCTTAGTTTATTTATGGCTTCATATTTAAAGTGGGCTTCTTTCTGTTTTGTTTTTGTCTTTCATGACAGAACCCAGACTGGCCTAGGATTCATGATCCTCCTGCCTCTGCCTCTCCGGTGTTGGGCTTACAGGTGTGTGCCACCATGCCTAGCTCTAAAGTAAGTTTCTTGTAGCTAGCCTGGAACTCACTATGTAGACCAGGCTGACCTGGAACTCACAGAGAACTGCTTGACTCCGCCTCTCAAGTCCTGGGATTAAGGCATGTACTATTCGCTCATCCAGCAAGTCTTGCTTTAAAAAAAAAAAAAAATCAGATCATCTCTGCCTTTTAACCAACCTGGTAGATCACTAGACGTCATACAAGTATTCATATAATTTGTGTAAATATACTATCATGCTGTTTGTTTCTATGTCTCAAATCTTTTTCCTCCTTCTTCTGGATTCAGTGGTGTGTGCTGTGTGCACTTTCTTCTTAGCTCCTGTGAGTTTGTTAGCTACTACCTTGTGCTATTTCAGTGGTTGCCTCAGAGTTCATCGTACACATCTTGAGCTTAATCCAGTTTGCCTTCTGGCGCTGTCATTTCACTTCGTCGGACAATGGTGTACCCCATTCCTGTCCTCCCAACCTTTATGCTATTATCAAACATTTTACCACACATTTGTTATGAATGCCGCATTTTAATTTATCAATGTTACCATTTCTTTTTTTTTAATGTTACTATTTCTTATTTAAGCAATTTAATGTCCTTTAAAGAGATTTAAATAAATAAGAAATGTCTCTCCTTTTTTTATTCAATGCAACCACATTAGGAAGAGGAACAAATAGAGTTGAGTTCCAATAGCTCCCCAAGTCCATCTTTCAGGAACTGACATGAGGTTTAGGTCTGAAGAGAGATCAAGAGGACTATATAATCATCCCGGTCAGAGTGTGGTCCTGCCCATCAGTGGCCCATCTTTGTCTGAGCTCCAGTCTCTCCTACAAGGTAGTCTGACAGGTTGTCAAAACTGTGTGAAATATATTTGGTAGACAAGATCCTCCTTTAGCTCGTATCAGGTGTCAGCCTTTCCTTCTCCTAGCACGAGATTCCTGGGGACATTCCAGGTCCTTGGGGACCATTGTTTCAATAGTCTAATAGGCAAAAGAAGGGTCACAAGTATCTCTAGTGAAATTATCTTCACTCCTGCCAAGACAGTCATCATCTCCCACTCTATTTTTTTTGTAATGTATATGAGTGTACTGCCTGCATGTATATAAGTGCACCCATGTCATGCAATGCCCATGGAGGTCAGAAGAGGGTGTTGAATTCCCCTGGAACTGGAATTATGTATGAAAGGTTGTTAGCTGCCATGTGGGTGCAGGGAATCAAACCCAGATCCTCTGCAAGGGCAGCCAATGCTCTTAACCACAGAACTATCTCTCCAGCCCCCCTCCCTCTATTTCTATACCCCAATCTTGAGTTAAAATATGCTTGTGCCTGAAACAAGTAACATAAGCAAAATACAAATAGAAGCCAAAGTTAAGAAACATTAAGTGTCAGATAACCATGAGTAAAAAGCATCTCTCCATAACATCTTGGCTTCAGTTATTTCTGAAGGACTGACACAAGTAACCCCATTTTGATGTCGACTTTGAGACAGGGTCTTGCTATGCTCTCACGAGCCTCCTGCCTCAACTTTCCAAGTGCTGGGATTACAGGCAAGTGCCATCAGGGCCACTGAAGCTTTATTTTTATCCTGGCAACTTCTCCCCTTGTCTCTGAATAATATTTTCTGAAGACATCACTAGTTACACATCTTACAGTTTGCTGTCTCTCACCGTCAGGATGAAATCTATTCTGATTGGTCTTATCTGATCTACTACACTGGCAGGGAGGGGAAAGTGATAGATGGATGTCAGCGAGTTAGTACCAGTAAAACCCTTTGTGGCCAATTTGAAACACTTAAGATGGGTAGAAGGAGAGGCGCCCGGCCAGGCATGCTGGGAGTCCATTCTAGAATCTAATTTTCTCTGTCCTCTGAATGATGTCCAGGTATCTCAACAACAACAACCAAATACTGTTCTGGCTCTTTGATTAGAAGGTGCACTTCTGCAGCACAGTAACACACAATAGCTTCAAAGTCTTACAAAAAACACAGCCAACAGAATCAAATATTTTGTGGAAACTAGTTTAAAATTAAGTACTTGTTTAAAGATGTTCTCCTTAGGTGTCCAGTGTTCAGAACCTTCTAATTATGAGGAGACACTGATGAAGTGCCCATGTTTCTGTTTAGGGAGACTAGTCAAGCTACAATTAAGAACACGTGAGCACAGACCCAGGCAAGGTTAGCACGATTAGCAAGTCTAGTGCAGAGAATGCCAGCTTGGTAAAGATTTTTTCCTAAGCTTTGCATCTTAGAAGACATATAATACAAGAGGAAGGTTAATATATTTAATATATAAAGGAGTGAGCAATAATTAGCA